TGGTGGGGGCGCAGGGGGGGACAGCCGGGACACCGTCCGCTGGGTGCGCTGGGCTGCGAGAGGGCCTTACCTCTGCCGCATCGGCAGGCAAGTGAGGGTCCTGCAGTGCCTCCCTGCCTGGCGGCTTTCCTTTTTAATGGGGAGAATGGGCTACAAATGTGGGGTATAATGGCGGATGCTTCTTGTGTGGCTTTGGAACCGGGTGCCACGCACAGAGTGAAATGTGTAGTTAATGACAGTAACTAGTGATGTGAGACGAAAGTGTATTTCTGTGTCCAATAAGGAGAGAAAATCTAATTTATTAAGTATGGGCTAGAAAGTACTCGAAAAAAATCAATGCAGAAGGTGAATAAAAGCAGATGAGGTGTGACGTGTGCGCCGTGTCGGCGCTGAGCGGGCTGTGCCGGCCCGGGGCTCCTCCCGGCACGCTGGTGGCCAGCGAGGCTCCCGTAACCCCCCGGGGCAGAGCCGGGCGAGGGGCTGCGGTGGGGCTGAGGAGGTCCCGACTGTCTGGGTGAGTTCAGAATATGGCCCCTGGCACTTGAAGAATGCAAGAAAAGCTGTTGCCCTCGGAGCTTTACTCTTTAATGTATAAAAACGTCGTGAGCTTTCGAAATGACTGTTTGCCTTCCGTTCATTCGATCAAATCGTTGTTTATCCCAGCAGAAAGGCAGAGCCACGTCTCTGTGCGTGTCGCAGGGTTCCCTCCCCACCAGCCTGGGCAGATGTGGGGAGGCATTAACCTTCCTCGCAATGCTTTACTCTTTTGCAAATGTTTTGAATTTAAACCCTTCTGTTGTCATTTGCAGTGAACCAGAGAGTGACCCGCTATCCTGCATCTGTGGTGGGCCTTCCCCAAAGCTGTTCCCAGTTAAAATAAAACCCAAAATGTTTATTTCTTATGTGCATCCACTTTGTTCTCTGCAAACACAAGCCTTGCACGTTTATTTTGGTTTCCGGTGCTTTTGGCACTGCAGGCCGCAGCCGTGCAGCGGGTGCCTGTGGTGCGCTGTAGGACGCGGGATGCCAAATCCGAAGGTCCCACCTGTGGCTGTGTACCAGACCATCGCCCATCGCCCCTGGGGACCCGCCGGGATGGGGTGGCAGAGCCCCGTGTCTGCGCTGGGGCTGCCGTAGCGCCGCTGGCCTCGGCAGGGGGTGCCGGGCTGCCCCAGGGGCTCCTCCGGGCCGGGAGCGTGTCCCGCGCTGATGCGTGGAGGTCGAGGTCGGGGAACCAAAGGAGATGGCTCTCAAGGCTATGTCGGCTGTACTGTTTTTATATTTTGTATAATGTATTTGTATAATTTGTTTTTATAATTTGTTTTTCTTGTATTTATTTGTTTTCAGGTAATTAAGTGAGCGAGCCAAGCATGATGCTCCTGCCCCGTCCTCCCGCAAGGTGCGGTGACGCTCCCCACTGCCGCGCACGGGAGAAAGGGGCGATGCGGGGGCTGTGCCCTCTCCTTTACTGGAAGAGCAAAATCTCGAGGGGACAGGTAACACCGAGCACGAATCATCCCCACAAATGTCTTAGCCCTTCGGGTGAAAAGGCGGTGAGGGAGCCGCGTTGGCCCGTTCGGAGCCGCGTTGGCCCATTCGGAGCCGCATTGGCCCATTTGGAGCCGCGGTGTGCAGCAGTGCCGGCTGTTCACACGGTGACATATCTGGGTGACAGCGGGCCGCGGGGTACTGAGGTGCAATAACGTGATTACTGCTTGGGTTTAGTGAGCCCCCAAACGCTCCCTTGTTGGTGCGTTTGCTGTTCTGTTTGCAAAAAGCCATTATTCACTTTAGTCTGTGGTTTGGCAAATAACAGCCGGTGTTTGCACTGTGCATTTGGACTGATGTAGAACCAAATTCAGCCACATTGTATTTTGTGAAAGATGACCTTTCCATGCATCTACTGGAAAATGGTAAAATGCTTGGGTTTTTCCTGGGATATTTTGTGCCTGCTAGAACACAGCTCAGCAAAAGGAAACCCTGACGCCCAGCCTCCCTCCGAACCAGCTCAAACGCTGCGTTTGAAGAAAACAAAAAAAAAAGGGATGGTGGTGGTGGAGGGGTGGTGAAAGCCTGAAATATTTTTCAAAGTTTGACCTTTTTATTAACTGTCTCAGGGTTTCGGAGCCTAGATGCCAGCCAGGATAGCAGGCAGGATGGCAGCAGCACCCTGAGGTATACCCCCACGTGGCACCCAGCACCGCTACCAGCTGTGCTCCCTCCGTCAGGGACGGGGACGGGGACGGGGACAGGGATGGGGACAGGGATGGGGGTGGCTGTGTGTGCTGCCGTGTCTTGTCTGTGCACATCACTCTGCAAGGCACGGTGCCCGTGCGCCACGGGGAGCAGCCCCGCTCCCTCTCTCCTGGAAGCGCCGCACCTCTGCGGGTCCGTCAGGGACGGGGACGGGGACGGCGCGGCGTCTCCCAAACCGTGGGAGTGTCGTTCGTCACCCCAGCCTGCGGCTCGGCAGCTCCGACACCGAGCGATGACTCGGCTGCGTGCCCACAGCTGCTGAATAAGCCTCTGGTTTGGAAAGTATTTGCAGTTCTGTACTTACAAATAAGTGCACAACCGGGAGCACTCTGATGGTTTGGGTCCCTGAGCAATCGCTCAGCCGGGCTGAGAGGGCACGTGCTGCCTAAACGCGGGGTTGGGCCACAGCTAGTTGCCCAGGCATCAGGTTTTCTACCAAGCTTGTAATTTCTCTAAGAAAAGTACAGATTTATGCAAGAATGGGACAAGTGCTGAAAAGTGCCATCTTTTTAGGGAGAAGACTAAAGCGTGAGAGTTGTGATTGATTCATCCCAAAAGGAATGTATTTGTTTTCCTGTACTACTTGCTCCGCCTGTTCCTCGGTGCGTGCAGAGCAGCGTGAGCATCGCCGCCGTTCGCGCTGGGAATGGGACCCGACCCCTGGGCACGTGCTGAATTCGTTAGATCCTTGCCATGAGAGGTTTGGGGGAATGCTTGGGTACCTTCTCATCTCCCCTGCCAGTGGCTTTGAAATGTTTTACTGTCTGTTTCCCTTTTCCCCCATCAAAGAGGCTTGACGTAAAGCTCAGGTTTGCCTGATAACGTAGTTGGGGGTGTGTGTGTGTGCGCAGGGACCCTGGAACTTGTCCAGCTGCGGTAACTTCGTTGTTTGTCTGTAAATGCTTCAAATGAGTTTGAAATCTCTCTTTTTAGGGCATCTCTTGATATATGATACAGATTTGTCTTCCTGGAAAAACTCCGCATCCTTCGTTGTGCCCTGGTTTTAACGCTTGTAATTTTCAAAGTTGAAATTTCCAGCAAATAATAGCGTGTCGGTGGCAACGCTGCTAACAAGAAAAATTCTTTGCACAAAATTGTATGAAGGCAGATACGTCAGGAAAGCCAAACTGCAAACCAAAAAAAAAACCAACAAAAACCCAGGAAGACTTTAAGGGAAATTAAAATTAAAAGTTA